AGGAAATTCATATAAATCCTTAAATCCGAGATTGGCTGGTAATTATTGCCTCTTGTAGTAATCTCAATGATTTGCAGTGACTTCCTTATAATCATTGTATATGCTGCAGACGCTGGTGGGACAGTTGGAGAAGAATTCTTTCAGGTTAGGATTGAAACCCTTTTTTAATAAATCTGGCTGTGACTCCAAATTGGACAAGATAGTAATTTATAAAATATGGGTCTCCTTTACAGACTGACACCTGAGATGTTAGACTTTAAGAGATATACCATAGGCCTCTCTGATAAGCTGAAAGCACTGGCTTTTTTATTTTTCTGGAGTCCTCACTATGATATCCATGTGTTTTGAAGAGTAAGTGCAAAGGAGCCACTGTGCATTAACTTGAAATGGCAAAACAACTGGTCATTCCTAAGAAAATATCCTGTTGTTATATGTGTAATGATCACAAAAGCCTTATCACAAAAATCCCTTCTTTTTATTGCTTAACAGGAGAAGCAGACACCTGGCTGGATGTGGTAAATGTCACCCAGGCCTCTAGTCTGACTCGTGTATCCTCACATATCTGCCAAGAGAAAAAGGGTGAAACGGCAGCCTCGGAAGGAGCCTTCCAGCTGTTCAGTCATCCAGAGCCCAGGAAAATCATGAGAGGGTTTTGGTTTCCTTTCCCTGGGGGAAAAGTAGTTACAGATGTGATGAAAATATTCAAGCTGTGTGCTTTGTCTCTACAACTCATCTCGCAACTGAATGTTCCTGACAAGGAAAGAAGACAAATATCCCTACTTGTGGGACTTGAAGATTTCTTGCAGCTCTTTCCAACCCAATATCCCAGTCTCCTCAGCCCTGTTATCTTCAAATAAAGCAGCATGTAAATGATCCTTGCTTCCCTGGCGCTGTGTGTTATTTCAAATTAGGATAAACCTCCTTTCCATACTACGTTTTAACAATTTTCAAGCCAAGGCTGGGAAAGGAATCTTGCAGTATTTCACCTTGTAGCTTTAAACATAGTTGAATAATACGGAACCTAAAGAGCCTTTCAAGATGTCTTAATATTGTTAGTATCACTAAATTTTTAGAGAGGAGAAAAACACCTTACATTGTCTTTTTCCATTAAAATTGCAATAGAAGCAACCTGAAATTTTGCTATTCAGCTTCACAATGGAAGAAAACAAGCCCCTGCTTCCAAGTCTTGTCAAGTGACAGACATGCAGGTGGTTCTTTTCTCATTGTAGCTGGGAGCTGACTTAGTTCACAAAGCTTAAGACGTGGAACTCTCAATTTATTTATTTTTTTACGTTAAAAGAATATATTCGATATTTTAAACAGTTTTAAAGCCAAATCTAAGGATTCACACCCTATCCCATCATTTATTTCCTATCCCTGGCCAAACTTAGTTATTCAAGCTGTCTGCATATTTTTTTTTTAATCTTAAAAATCTTTCTAGGAGTCTATTAACATCTTACTGAATTCAGCCTATCTAATCTCATCTACCAAGAGTTTGTTTGATCTGCTGCGGGTTCCACTGTGCTGCCTCTCCCAGTGGAGGGAGGAAGGAGAGCACAGCGAATCTCTGAAGTACTTCCATTGCCACTGACCAGTAAGAATTGAATTGAGTGATAACTTGTGGTTCAATCTGTGATTTATTTGGGGTTTTCAGAAACAGCATTTGTCACTTTTTTTTTAACCTATATAAATGGATGAGGAGGGGATGGTTCTTTCTAGCCACTGAAGCTGCCCGTGTGTCAGTAGTGTTGTTTAGGTGTTGTTCAGGTGCTCTCTCTGGAACAGTTCTGAAAATGTGATTTCTTTTTTATTCCCTTCAGACAGTGTGTCTGAAGCAGCCAAAGAGGACAGTCAGTTTTTTGTGTTGTTCTTCTTGGGTTTTCTGTTACGCTGGGGTGTTTGTTAAAAACCTGATGCTGCAAGACAGGTCACACAGCCTGGGCAAGACCATGCTGTGCCTCGTGATGATGGCTTCCTTCTGTGTTGATTGCAGGAGGCTCTTGAAGCTCAGTCATTTCTGTCCAGCTCATTTCACCTGCAGAGATCTGCCTAAAGGAGCCTATGCCCACTTGTGCACTGTGAAGATCTTTGTTCTGAAGAGATTGTCCCAGTCTGTTCCTCAGCCTGTCCACATGCCTCTCAGTAACTTAACTCCAACATCCTGTTTGCCAAGTGATCCCTTGGTGTGCTTTTCTCATCGTTTCTTTCACTGTAATCAGAGTATCCCCACATCCACCTGGGAAACCGGTCACATGAATCCTGAAGCAGCAGAGCCCTTATGAAGAAATCCCCAACACCTCTGACCCACGTGCTGTTACCCTGCCTGGACAGACAGTTTCTGTGGTTGTCTCCCCTTCCTGGGGGCAGTGTCAAGGCCCTTCAAAGACATCACCACTCGCTGCCTGTCTCAGACAGGAAGTTCCTTTGGTATCGGTACAAATTCCCAAATCCTGATTTCATGTAAGTCGACAGATGAAGTGATGTAAAGCTGTTCTAGACTTACACTATACTTCCCAGATGTCAAAAGATCCTTGTGTTCTGGTTTGGTTTTGGTTGCACTCACAGATAGAAGTGGTTCAGGAAGCTTTAATAGAACTGTTTATACAATTAATCAACTGTTTATATCATCCCCAGATGATGGGCTGCATTACAGTATGTTACGAGTCTGCCTGTGTCAACATCAGCCTTGCTGAAAACTTCTCACACCTCCTGAGCAAATGGTACGTGGCTTGGCTCACACGAACAGCGACCAGCAGGGTGTTTGGGAGCAGTGGTGCATTCAGTCGGACGATGCTGAAATTGCTGTTCCAGCCCAGGCCTCCAAACCCACCCACTGGTGGTGGTGAGTGTCGTAGGTTACTGCCTGGTCACCCCACTTCAGAATGGATACTTCTGTTTCTCCAAGATCAGGATGGTGGGAAGTAACTTACTGGTAAGTCTCCATCATGTCTAGTACTCTCTGTTCCACTTTTCCAGTGTTTCTTTGCCAACTGCTGCTATTTTGGGTGAAGGGAACAAGGTATGAGAACACGCTCTAATCCTTAGGCCTGCTCTTCCAGGGAGGAGACAGAGCAATGTGCTCCATGCAAACAGTAAGGCCAGAATGTCTTGTTTTCTAATAGTTTTGACATACTCAGAGTTAGAACAGCTCTGTGGAACATGTGAAAAATCCCTGTTCTGGATTTTGTGCAGCATTCAGCAAGAACACAGCTATGGGTGTCAAAGAATTAATGATTTTTAATAACCCTGCAGTGGGATGGCCTCCTTTTACATCAGCAAATTTATGTTTAATAAGATATAGACATTCCCCTTTCCGTATTTCTGCCCAGTATGTGCTGCAGAATAAACAAACCTGTTGTGTTGCTGTATGAAAGCTGAGTGTGACTGGGTCCTGGTGCACAGTAATGTAGCTTGGGGAAGAAAGGTTTGATAGAAGCCAAGAGCTTAAATAGTTATATACTTATTTTGTGTTGTTTTGCTTTCTGAAAGCACAAAGTGAGTTCAAAGCAGGAGCTCACTGAGCACCTTTCAGTACACAGACTTGTAGCTGCCATAGTGGTTTGAGTTTGAACGCATCTCGGAACTGAGTCAGACCACCAGAAACGGAGACTTGCGGCTCCCCTGTGCGCACTCTGCTCCTCGCTGCTCCCACTCTGCTCCTCGCTGCTCCCCTGTGCGCACTCTGCTCCTCGCTGCTCCCACTCTGCTCCTCGCTGCTCCCACTCTGCTCCTCGCTGCTCCCCTGTGCGCACTCTGCTCCTCGCTGCTCCCACTCTGCTCCTCGCTGCTCTCCTGTGAGCACTCTGCTCCTCGCTGCTCTCCTGTGGGCACTCTGCTCCCACTCTGCTCCTCGCTGCTCTCCTGTGGGCACTCTGCTCCCACTCTGCTCCTCGCTGCTCCCCTCAGCCATGGGAATGCAACTACCAGACTGGAACACAAGGACTCTGTTACTCAATGGCTGTTACGCAGTTGAAGTTACAACAGCCAGTAAGACCACACAAAATTGTAACACTTCAGAATAAATTCTCTTCTCTGAATTTAACCCCAAATTAATGTCCTTTGAATATTCTCTTCCCAACTTCTTCACTGCAGCAGAGCAGTTCATCACTGCAGTACAATATTTATAGCACTTAATCTAGTTACTGCTCTGGAAAGAACGGTGTGTTTTACTCATTTACCAGCAGGAACCTGCCATCTGGCACACGAAGTATTTATGTAAAAACCTTGCTGTCCCACAATCATTATGTGCTTTTCATAGCTCTCCTTGAATGAACTTATGAACCATGTGTAAGATTTCTTAAAGTCAAAACACTCTTGAAATGACCTCTCTTTTAAACAGGAAAAGTAACATAGTTGTTGATATTCATTGCTGATGTTTTCTTTAACCACAATTCCTTGCACAGTAAGCTGGAAATTGTGTCTCAGTGCAGTCTAGTTTTTCACAGTCCTTTGGTATCTTCTTCCCCAGACTAGCTGTTCCATAGATGTTCGCACTCAGTTACTGTTAAAAGCATATGAGAAAACTCGCTGGGATTTCCAACGGGACTGCAGACAACCGAGTGGCCAGTGCATGGTAACGATTTCAGCTGGGGGTTTTGACTCTAAGGAAAAAACCAAATCATGGCACCCTAACCAGAAATTGGAACCTCACCATATACAAGCTCTATGTATGTATACATGTATATTTTCATGCATGTCATGCGTGGTATTTGTGTCTTCATTCCCTTTCCTATTTTTCTTCCTTTTGCAATGGTTTTCCATTCCAGCCATTTCCATACTCCGAGCCAGGACCCCAGAAAACGAAAGGATTAAATTAAAAGGAACAAATTTGGTTGAAATGAGAAATATTATTTTCCCTCTATAAAACATTTAAACATGTTACAACAAACCTTTATCTCTGCAATGAAGTTCTTTTACTTCTGGTAGGACATAAGCTACCAAGGTACAGACTGTCTTACAGCCTCTTAGGTTAAGTGCTTCGCTTACCATTTCAGATGTGGAATCTCATCAGTCACTCCTGTCACAAACATACCTGAAGCTCTAGGAAGTGCAGGTGTTCAACAACTTATGTTAAGATATATGGTCTGAACATACGGGCAGCTGTTTTGTGATTCAGCCAAATATCTGTGCTAGTCCTTTTCATACCATCGTCCGTATAGAGCAGCTGTCAGTAGGCCAGATGATGTTCTATTTTTGCTTATGAAATAGTGGTTATTTTTCCAGCCCATGTGATCAGCAAAGTCCAAGGTAATACCAGATGTCAGGAGTAAAGGAAAGATGTAAGGAGTACTCATATTTCCCCATAGCTGGAAATCTATCACAGCAGTGGCATCTGTAACCTCCTCTCCACAAGTGCTAAAGCTGAGACCACCACACTTCACTAACGCACAGGCCTGGACATAGTATGTGCCATGGACTGTATGGAGCCCATCAAAAACTCCCAGAGCGTAGAATTCATTGGTCAGCTCCGCTCTCTGATAATTCAAGTAACAACAAAGGGTATTGGCACAGACCTGGAGCTCTCCTTCTTCCCCCCATACAGGAACAAAAGTAAAGTTGTCATACATCATTTCTGCATAAAACAGGGGAGGTAACTGTTCATTTCCTTTTTCTGATCCTCTGCCAGGTGTCTCTTGTCCCTCCTTAAAACAAACCTGATCGTTCACTGAGGCACTTTTAAAAGTCTTGCATGAGTGATGTGAGTTCTCTCTAAATCTTTCATTGCCCTCCAAACTGGTTTTGTAATCTGGGGTAATCACAGGAATTTCTGCTACTATGAGCTTGCCACCATAACTTTCCATGTTGTGGTAGATGAATGATTTGACTGGAGTGTATATGCCACTCCCTGTCATGCCCAAGGAAGGGTGGTGGATATTAGCTGCTAAAATATTGACATTGAAAGCTGTGGCAAAAGCTTGTTGAAATTCTACAGCAGACAGGAGCGGGAGCTGGTTCATCCAGGCAGTTGGATATACAACTTGTTTCAAATTGTATTTTCTGATGAGATTCACTGCAGGCTCAAAGAAGAGGATATCGAAGCAAGTGAACATACCAAACTTGCCAGCAAAAGGCGTATCAAAGAGTTTGTAGTCAGGCTCTGGAGGGGTATCAAAAGCGTATTCAAAATAGAGGTTGTGTTTGCGATACGTTGCTACCAGCATGCCGTCATCACCGAATGCCACGTTGGTGTTGAACTGGTATCTTCCATCAGGTGGACAGCGAGGATCAGCGTGCTCACAGGGCTGCTTAGTTCCCAAGTTTGCCACAAGGAATATTTTGTTCTTCAGTGCCATGCAGCTCAGACGCTGAAGAACCTGGAGTACAGTACAGAAAAATGTAACCACTCCAGAATATGGAGGGGTAAGTTTTGCTTAAGCAGCTATGACTTGTTTAATCCTTTTCAAAGTATTATTTTCAACTGGAAATTGAACACATTTGACTGTATCTGTAAAATTTAAAAGTACTGATGATTTTGTGATGAAAGCTAGTGGAACCAGTAGCTTTCTAAAATGAAAAGTATTTCAGATATTAATTTCAAAATAACATTGAAAAAAATTATCTGGTTTTATTTCCTGAGAAGTAAGTCAATAAATAAATAAATGTATTTCAAGGGCAATAATTTTCAGAAACTTCTGACTGTTGCAGGAGCACCAGTGGCTTTAAAACACCATAGGTCAACTGAAAGCTTTGACAAGGCAGCATAGCTGATCTGTGCATGCCTTTAGTGCAGCAAATGTCTAAAAATGATCATTTGCACCTGCAATGGCTTGTTCCTGCAACTAGATATTTTCAGTCTACATTTTTTAAAAAGTGATTACTAGCTACAACTTAAAAGAAGCAGAGATATAAACAGACAGACTTTGCATAGTTGTAGAAAATGAATACAGAAAGTTACAGATTACGGCATTACTGGGATGTTTCTTCCACGCCATAGAGAGCCGTACCAAAGACTGCCAGGACGGCGCTCTCCAGACAGGATCTGAGTGACAAACCGAGTTCCTGCTTGTGCATGACCATTGGTAGTAAAGATCCATAGACCAAAGTAGGTCACCGTGCACAACTGTGACTCATGTTTGCACACAAATTCTGCTTAGTAGGCACACGCATGATTACTCACTTTCATTATACTGACTACTGTAACCTTAATAAGAATAAATAGTCCGTATTACTAAGCATGGCTATTTTCACTTTGGGCTCAGAACAGTCGATGAAAATACTATTTTTGTAACTTACAGGTCACATCTGTTATCACACTTGGTCTGGTGACATCTATTACATTATAACAGGTCGAGTCCTATTGTGCTAATCATTTTAGATACAATCAGTCAGAAAGTTCTGATGTCCTTAAAACTGAGTAACAAGAATGCATCAAAAGTGAAGATACTGCTATGTTGTTTTAAATAAAACAATGTTCAAAATAACACTACTAACAATGTACCCTATTAGAGAGTGATTACCGTTTCATAGGTTGGGGAGGGGGAGATGGCAAATCCAAATGGATCATGAACAAGCTAATCTCCTTGCACTTAGGTATCTAAAATGCTCCTCTGCTAAGCATGAAACCAGCATAAACTGAGAGTTCATGAAAACAGAATCTGGTACTATAAGTTGTTACACTTCTTGCTTACTTCCCTAAGCAAAACTACAAGAGCCAGTTTCCCACTTGGAGCACAAACCTAGCATTGAGTTATTCTAACTCTGCAGAAATCACTCCGACATTTACCTCTGTGTCATTGAACAAATACGGCTCTCTGCATGGATTCCACTTCACAGAGTGTGAGTGCAGAACAAAATCCAAGTAAGGATAAATGGAGCTTCTGGTGAAGTTGAAGCCATGGATTCCATCTTCGGGAAAAACAATGATCTGTGCTCCCTGTATGTAAAACAAAGACATGTTTTGTAGGCAAAGCAAAAGCAACCTAGATATGGAAGGAAAGAACGGGGAATCTTGTGGGTAAAAAGAGCCAGAGAAGCTAAGGATAACCCAAGTATGTTTTGACCACAATGTAGTTTGAAAATATATTTTCTTTGACTTCATAGTGGGTGTAACTATGTGTATAAAAAAAAAGCTTATTTAACCTGATGCAAACCTTTACCTTGAAAAATAACCTATTTGACATTAAAAATAATGTCAAAAATGTCAAAAGGGCATGCAAATAAAGGCAGACTTCATCCAAATTCTTACCAAAAGTATTCTCCATTCACATGCACCATGAGAATGACATTATTCAGATTAAAGATGGTGTTGTTAAAGCCTTACTTGTTTTTCAGAATTATGCTATTTGCAGATGAACTTTGTAAAAGATGCTGTACTTGTATCAAAGGTCCTGTAACTGTGTCAAAGGTGCAGCATCACTTTGTCCAGGCTACAGGCCACGATCAGGTATATATGCTTGTTAGGGTACTGGGAGTATTGATTTCAGAAACAGCTTGACTGTGGAAGCAATGCAGATTGTGGCAGAAATGTAGCCAGACCAAGCCTGGCTGCACCTGAAGTTCAGGGAGATATGTTCCTAAACATGTAGTGGATTCTTCTTAAATCAGACACAGCATCAGTCAAATTCAAGTGACTGTTCAAAAGTCAGTTCAAATGTGTTATCTGTGCTGTGGCTTTGGGATAATTTATGTGTGTTGGATACAGTACTGCATAAAAATAGCTATTATGTTTCTGGACTGTGATACCCAGACATCATTCTCAAAAAAAAAAAAAAACAAAACAAACCCCAAACCACTATTTTCTCAATTTATATAAAAATTTTAACTCTTCTGTTCCCAAACAATAGATTTGTGAAACTTGCAAGTCAATACTTCCCTGTGTAGGGACAGTAATGCCTGCTTCCCCTGAAGAGAATCAGCTTTGGCTTTTAAAGGAGGTTGTGCATAAGAACAGCCAGAAATACCAGTCTCTCTCTTCTATTTAGACTGAGAACCATTCTGTGGAGAATAGGAGAAAGGAATGGAAAACTTTACTTCTACAAAGTTGTTAATGGTGGAACATTCATTTCCAAAGCATTTAACTTCTTTAGTTTTTAGAAACATTCATGAATTTCCATGAGAGCACTGGGATAAAATCAAACCTAAAGACAGCTGCCTGTCTGACAGGCTGTAAGACAATCTTTCAATAAAAACATTCCATTTAAGAAAACAGAAAGGAGCTAGATACTCAGACTAAAATAGAAAATTAATTTCCCCATCCTAAATAACTATAGGCGTGTTTTTCCAAGCTTGGAATAACTCAAGTCAGGCGAGCTGCTAATTGGCCTGATTTTTTTAAAGAGCTGCTGGCAGGTCAGGATGTCTGAAAAACCAGACCATAGTTATGTATATAAATATGGCTGTAGTTGCCTGGGAACACAAACGTGAAACGTTATCCTCAAAGAGCACTTACTCTATATATGCACAGGACACAGGCAACTGCTCCTAAGCTGCAGCATACCTGTCTGGCAGCAGCCACGACTTGCTGCTCATAGATCTCTAGGTTTCTGCCCATGAGCTCCAGCGCAGTCTGTCGATCAACCAGGGCTGTCGGGTTCGGACTCAGTATGGACTCGTGTTCGTACACGGCAGCAACATAATGCCCCTCCCTCTTCACTCTTCCTGAGACAACTCGATAGCAAAGAAAGCAGAGAGACAGCTTCCAGCACAGAGCCACCATGGTGCATGCCATGTATCTAGAGAAAAAAAACAGGTGGAGCTTGAGCAGCAAATAATGCCAGGAATTTAAATTTACGATTAAATATGGACTGTAACTGAGACTTATTAACAGTGTTTGAACTGAGCGTGATGTTTTTAAATTCCTGAACAACCACGTGCATATTGTTTCTAAACCTTAAATCTATCTGTGTTGGTACTTTAAATAACTGAGTCCTGTTTAAAAGCATTTTTGCTTCATACATAGTTCTACCAATCTCCTTGCTTGGTCTCCCTCTACAATTAACTTTAGCATTCACTTATAGATTATTGCACCACATATCAAAACATCATTGGGAAAAGTTAAAAGCAGCTCACAAATTTGCAGTTTCTCCTTCATCTGGTGATGGTGGATGGATTAAAAGTAGCACTTCCTAAAATTACTTGGACACTATATTTAGTAGTCAAGTAGAAATACAACTTATTTTTTTCAAAACAGAAACAGATAATTGCCAAAAGAATTACACTGGACACTACTTCTGCACTTATCTGTCTGTCTGTGATGAAAATGCCTCTCCTGCTGGGTTATGCATTCACTCTATTCCAGCACACTTTTAGCGCCTTTCAGTCTTCGTGATCCACAACTCCCTGAATTTTTCCAAAGCAAATACAGACTGAAAGACACATGCATGAAGAGCCTTCTCTAGTTCCCATTAGGAATTTGAGCAGGAAAAAGACATAAATGTTAAACTAATCACATTTTTATGTTTATTCATCTTTTATTAAATGTAGTTTTGTACCTAAAAAAGAAAGTGTATGGCAAATTAACTTAAAAATCTCTTTTCTGAAATTCCAGAACGAAAAGCAGCTAACAAGCAATCCTCAATACCACGCTTTTTTTTTTTTTGCCTTTTTTTTTTTTTGCCTGCTGATTTAGTATCTAACAATGAACAAATTGAAGTGTGAGGAAAGCTATTCAAAAAGCATTTAGTAAGTAGTATCACACTTGTTTGCGTCCATGAGCTCTACACACTATTTCCAACACTGGTTTGATAGCAACACAATCCCATATAGGACAGGAAAGTCATAACCTTAGAAGGATGAGAAAACAGAAGACTTGTTTGTTCAACCAAAAAGTTTTAATATGTAATAACACTTCTGATGGCCCAGGAGTAACTTAGCTATTAGATCCTGCTAAGCTCAACGACACACTCATATTTTCTTAAGACTGAATTTGCCAATGTGTCCATCTATACGTGCCTTCAAGGGAAAATTTAAGTGGCCTAAAGCACAACAAAAAATGAAAAAAGTCTTGGCATCTCTGTACACAGTAGTATTAAAGAGAATCCCTCTATATAAACAGTTTTGAGAAGTTATGTACAATAAGCTACCCTTGCTATTCTGCACCTTGAGGGAAATACTTGGTACTTATGGGGAGGGTGATTTGGCAACGCCTATCGAGAACACGGGATCCTGCTTCGTCCTGTGCAGCTCAGCTCTGCAAATGAGCATACACAGAGATAGAAAGCAGCAGCAGGGGGAGGGAGAGGAGGGTGGGAAGCCTCTCACAGTTAAGGAAGCCACTGAAAATAAACACACAATGTTGCACTTCACTGACAAAACTGCCTTTTCTATTTCTGTCATCCCTTCAGAGCCAAAATGCCTATTTAGGACAGGAATGGGTTCCAGTCAGCCATTCCTCAACAAAGTTGTCAACTAAGATGTAATTAGAATTCACCATTACTAGTGATGGAAAAAGCTGGAGAGTTTCAGATCACAAGATGGAATTGCTATGCATTAGAAAAATAGCCTTTTGCCTTGTAAGCCAAACACTCTAACATCAAAAATTAACAGGTAATGGGCTTCTACAAAATGTTGTATTTTACAGACATGCTTGGAGAATTCTCATTTTTCTGCCATGGTTTATTTTCTGGTGGTCACAGACACTCAAAGTATTGACCTAAATCCCTTCCTCATTTAGATGCACTGGATCTAAATTTAGCACTGAACATCCAACTACACAGTCCCATCTGGCTGAACCTGGGCCCACTAAAATAATCTAATAACTAAGATACTTCCTCTGAGTCCTGACCCCTGGCTGTGATTACTGCCAGTCCCACCGACGATGGCTGAGCACTTACCTGAGTGCTCCCCAACGCCGTTCCTCTGTTGACAGCTTAAACACCAGAACCCTGCTACCTAACAGACTGCTTCCAACAAGGAGAGCTGTGACAAGCTCCAAGGCTGGGCCTGGGGACAGTAACCTTTCCAGCCAGAATAAGGATACCATCAGGACTGAGTCGGCCCTCAGGCTCTGAGACTCCAAATTAGTCTCAGCCACATTGTTGGGTTTTTTTCCCCTAATGAAAGTGCTACACTACCTAATAAAGCCTTTCCTTGAAGAGAAGTTAATTTGTTTAGGGTCTACAGAGATGTCATCTCACCTGAGCCATGGCTCTAAAGGAATTTTCATAAAAATGCTTTATAATATAATCTCTTTTTCTGTCCCTTTCCTGTGATTTGTGTGGTGGCAGATATGTTTCAGGAGGATCATCTCATCCCAATATAAGTCTTTCATAGCAGTATTACTGTCATGCAATCACAGTATTCTAGTTATAGTTCCATAAAAAAAGGTAAAAAGACTGGTGTTTAAGTTAGGATGCCAATTCGGGTAAGTTTTCCCCCTAGTCACAGTGCAGACTGTTTTCCTATTCAGTTTTTCAGAACCCCCTTATTTCAGTACACTGGGAAGTACAGCATCCAGTCACTCACTTCTCAACAGCTTTGGAAATGTAGAAGTTTGTCAGATCTCACCATACATAGATGTATACACGGAGAAAGGCAATACGTACCGTGCTTCTTAGCGCTTTTATACTCAGAAGAATCCAACAGCTTATTAAAAACAGAAGTAGCACAGCACTGGTCTGGGTCCTCTCAAGTGATTAATAGCAAATGCCTGTTAAGCTAGAGTAACATAAACAGTACTAATTACTAGGCAAGACATCAAATTTACTATTAAAAAACACAAGTCTTTTACTTCGAGCAATATCCATGATGATGTTGCTGCCATTTTAATATATAGCATATATAACACAACAGCCCCTCGAGAGATGTAAAAATATAGGGAATTTTTTTTCCACTAATCCCTGCTGTCTACTGCTTTTATATGCTGCACTATATTTGAACACAGTATTTTACTATACAGGTGTTTTTAGCAATGCGATCATAGGTCAATGCACGGTATCCTGCACTTCCTTTTCTGAGAACTGTTTATTCTGTGTGCAGCGCATTATATAACATCGCCCGAGTTTCCAGGCTTGTATCCAGAGGCGCCATCTATTTCTGAACAATGCCGCCCATTCTAATACACTGTTTTGCAGAAAGTTTTATCCTTTTCCCGGCATCCCTGATTCAAAAGAGGGGTGTTCCTGACAGAGCGAGGCTGAACTGAACGCTGCCGTTATTAGCGCTTCAGCTCAAGCAACTCACAACGGCAGCACAACCGACAATCCGGGGAGGGGCAGAGCACACCGTCACCTGTGTCACTGCTGGGACACGCACGAGCTCGGCGCGGCCAGGGTGAGCAGCGCCAGGCCAAATGGCGCGAGCCGTCCCTCCGTCAGGGCTCTGGCGCAGCGCCCCACGCTGCC